AAGTTTTAAAAAATCTTAGAGAAATTATTACCAGATTTTGAAATATGGAATAACTTATTTATTTTAAAAAATTATCCTAAGTACATTAGTAAACGTTAGGTTTGTTTTAGAATTTTTGTTATAGATTTTCAAAATCTCATGGTTTTTCTAGGGCACCTCGTCCCCTTCCGATCCGCCATAGATTCCGGCACCAAGACGCCTTGACATCCTCCTTAATGCTGGTAATTTTTGCCATATCTCAACCTCATGAACAACATTTTATCCCTTTTGCAACTAATTGTGGTCATCTTAGATAAATAATTAGTTTTAAATTATCAATAGTTTTTTGTGCTTTTCAAAACTCAATCACAACAACTTTTTCTTCTTCAATCGTCGGATCTTATTACGTATTTAGTCTATTAGTACTAACATTTAGCTTCTTTTATGTTAATTTTGTCATTAATCAAATCAATAGCAGTTTACCTAAGCTCTAGAGGTTAGTACAGGCATCCTGATGCATTGCAAGTCTATTATTCGTTTAAGGAACCGCCTGTCGATCGTCAACAGGCCGATGGTATATTGGCATCAATCAGTAACCATTTTCATAATTAAAAGATCGAAAAGTTCAAGGAAATTGGAAATGAAAAAAATGGAGTGGGGTAAACAGAAAAGTGAAGGGGGAGTCTGACAATTGAAAAACATCTGATTACATATGGAAAAACATAGAACCCAGAGGGATCAGACTAGCGGTCGATCACTCTGACGTAGTGCGTCATGATCAATGATGTATTCGATTCTTGTTAGATGTTATCAACTCTTCTAGGGCCATACCCTCTGACTGAAAGTCTAATATATGATGTTGCACAACAACGTCAATTACATTGTTTCAGCAACAACTGTTCATATATGTTCGTATTTGCAGTCATGTGCCAAACCCTTGGTTCATATGAAAATCTCAACTAAGAAGAGAAAAACTTGCATAAAAGCCATCCAGGGTCATCAAACTTTTGTCTCTTTCATAAAGGATGAAACAGTTGTTATAATCTGGGTTAATAAGCTGTTGAACTTTCCATCATAGCAGGACACTTACATTCAAGTAGTTGCATCTTATTAAGAATAGACTGCCAATTTGCATGGTGGAGAGCTGAAGGCTTTGGTTCATAAATGTTGTTCTAGTATAATCGAAATATTTTTCCATTGAATGGGAGCTTTGAAATGGATCTAACTTGATAATAGGTCAAGGTAGGAAAACAAAAAGGATGGTAATGAACTAATTATTTTAGAATGACTGAATGATCATCAACTTTGTTAGTGGGCTCTTTTCTTATGTGTTTTAGAAAATAAATTTTGAATCAGAAAGCCTTGATGCATTGCATATATAGAGTGTTACATGTATCACACTTTATGGCCTTTTCTAAGACCACTATATGAATAATGCTAGTGTATTTTATTGAAATATCAGTTGATTTGTTATCATTTTGTGTGACACATATGTGTGGATATGGAAGATGACTTGCATTCTTCTTTATTTATATCTTTCTTGAATATATACTATGCATACCTGTGCTACTTGTTTGCTAGTCGTTGGATTTCGAATGACATCTATTGTTGATATATATCCCAAAACAAACACAACATGGTGTGCAATCAAATGTTTTGATCCATTGTTTCATTCAAATCCATTTTCAAACCTTCTCTCTTACTGTTCCCAATTTAAAATAATGATCAATCGTTTTGTCCTTTATTCTCATCATCGTTTTGTGTCCATTTAAAACAGTTCAATATTTGTATTATCAAGCCTAATATTGCAATTCCTTGATCGTAGTCCAATTTGCCATTGGATTAAGGGATCTATCATTAGGCGATATAAACTGTTTAAATCACATATATTTTGATTTCTATATGTGACTACCTTTAGCTCCGGTTCTTCCTCCTTAGCTAGGTATTTCCAATGACAAGGTAGATACATTTATGCTTTCTTATTGATATACATCTGAAAGCCTTAATTCAAAACAATTCTATCTTATTAAAGAATTTCTGCAAAAACCTGAAGATTAAAAAAAAATTAACTTCAGGTTTTACATTCAAGAGATTGCAATTTTTTTAAATGCGATTATTAGCGCAAATAATCTTCCCAATCTATACATACTAACTAATCCACACAGTCAGCTTTATCCATAAAGGACTTAATAGAAAACCAACCATACAGCCCCTAAGTGTCCTAACTAATCCTCAGCTTGTAGCATAACAACTACTAAACTATTTAGAGCAAATATATATATATATATATATATATATATATATATTGGAGGGATATTTTGCAAACCAAGCCATTTGTACAACCCTTGAAAACCATCGATTTCATTTTTTGTTTTAGTGAATTTTTTCACGAAATTGTTTAAAATGATGAAATTGTTTCAAATAATTCATTTAATTTTTTTCGCTCTATTTGTTTCTTATAGTTAAATGTGTCACGGTTTGAAGAAATTTATGGGTTATCCCCTGCTTTAAACCACCCCTTCTAAGATATTCCACCTTCATCTTTTCGTTGGGATTATTTTCTTGAAATGCTACTTATGTGATATGTGTTTCTAGTTGTCAATTCTAACTTTACACCAATTTCCAATGCTTGGTGTTTAAGATATCCATTTATCCATCAGATAGGGTCCTTAATTCATAACTTACGTAAATAATATGTAGGCTGATTGAATAAAGCCAAGCATAATTTAGAATATGCCTTTACTTTTATATCAAGTAAGAAAAAGTTACACATTTATGCAATGATATGAGGAACTTTGTAGGTTCTCCAAGGAATTTACATTGGTTGATCTACAGCAATATTACAACATTCTTTACAATAATCATACCCAACTAAAAGCAATCGGACTGTTTACAACATATTTTCCACCAGCCCACGTTAGACTAGCAAAGCTGGTAGTCCCCGACTGCATCGAACCAGCTGTGAATGTCACCGTATACGCCTTCTTCTCGTTTTGTTTGATAAAGGTTAATGTTTCTGGCTCGACCGTGATCTTCACAGCTCGTATTGTTGACGATATTGAAACCGTGTACGTTGTTGGAGTGCCCACGTTGGTCAGAATTCTTGTGTACTTAACAATGGTTGGTGCATTGCTTCCACCGCCTTCCCCTGAAGCCGTCAGCAACGGAACTGCAAATGACGGGTAATTAAGATCTTCAACCCTGTATTTCTTTCCGTTGCTACATTTGAAGTTTTTATCTGCAAACATCCTAATAGAAGTAGAACTGTAATTCAAAGCACAAAGGAAGCCAAGGTAGTCGTCAGCAGAGGCATCATAGACAAGACCGGGATCAAGGGCCGAAACTGGGTCCACGTGTCCTGCACCGTGATCAAAGGGGGTTGACGGCATTCCTGTCGCAACATCCTGCAGCCCGTCACCGTTTTTGTATGTGCGATATGCCGTTGTCATAAGTGCTGATCTTATAGCTGCTGGACTCCATTCTGGGTGAGCTGCCTTGAGTAGTGCGGCTAGCCCGCTTACGTGTGGGCACGACATCGAGGTTCCAGACAGGATGTTGAAGTCCACACGCCGAGGATCTTCTTTCAGGCCGGTTGGACCTATTTTATTGGTCCAACCGGCTATAATATTCACACCTGGTGCTATGAAATCAGGTTTGAGTATTTCAGGTGTGATGGGATTTGGACCCCTGGAACTGAATGCTGCCACTACTGGCGACGGTTCGATGCCTAATTGGGTTCCTCCTGGCGTAATTTCAGCTGTTGGATTATGATCCGAGACTATATAGCTCTTTATTACATCACCAGCTCGGTGACCGATGGCTACACTTAATATGAGATGTGTGTCGGCCACCAATTCCTCTCCGAATGTCTCAGTGTTAGCTAAGATCATTCCGGCACCACCGGCTGCCTTCACCACGATTCCCTTCTGCACCCTAGAATTCATCCCGCGTTCGCACATCACAATTTTTCCGGCAACGCTTCGTGGTGGCAACGAACCCGGTAGACATAGATTACCGGATGTTGTGTTACTGATTTTACCAGCAAATACTAGTGGCACCATGGCATCTGATGATGGTTTCCCACTGTAAAGTGAGGCTCCTGAGAATTTCTTTCCATTCCCGAGAGTAACATAAGCCGGAAAATCTCGATCCAGAGTTCCCGCTCCAACCGTAGTGATCCATGGGGCGACGTTCGATAAGCTTAGAGGGGAGGGTCCGCCGTTGCCAGCTGAGCAGGCTACGAATATTCCGTTGGATGCTGCCTTGAACGCTCCGTAAGCAATGACATCATGGGTGTATTCAGAGAGCGAGCCTCCAATCGACAATGATAACACATCGATACCGTCTGCTATCGCGGCGTCCATGGCCGCTAGTATGTCGCTGCCAAAACATCCCCCGAGCCAGCACGCTTTATAAATTGCTAACCTGGCTCGAGGAGCCATCCCACGTGCCGTTCCGTTTGCAAAACCAAAGAGGCTAGCCCGGTTTACGGACGAACCAGCTGCTGTGCTCGCAGTATGTGTTCCATGTCCATCATCATCCATCGGAGACCTCGATTCCACTTTTTCGTCAATCGGGCCATAGATCGCTTCATATGCTTTCAACAAGTATCTCGCACCGATTAGTTTCCGATTACAACTCGACGTGCTGAATCCCGTACCGCTCTCGCACTCGCCTTTCCACCGAATGGGGATTGGGCCAAACCCCGTATCGTCTAAGCTCTTACTCCCCGGCCACACACCCGTGTCTACCAACCCGACAATCACATCGCTACCCGACCTCGAACCCAAACCATCCACATCGTTCCGTTCTAGTCCGAGAAACTCGGGTGATCGAGTCGTGTGAAGCTCGTATACGACCTCTTGTTGAACGGACAAAATCCCGTGCTGTTGTTCAAGTAAGTTTGCTTCTTCGATTGTGAGCCTTGTGGAGAAGCCATGGATGACCTTGTTGTAGGCATACAACATCTCCATGGACTTTGACACTGATCTTACAGACGTTTCATACCATTGCAAGTGGTCGGAAAAGGGTAACGGCATGACGGACTTGTCCATGTGAACGATATACGTATTTTTCCGGTGACGGCTCCGGTCTGCCGCCACATAACGGTAACAACAAACCACCATTACTGCCATGAAGACAAGATTCTTGGGGCTCATCTTGTCAAAATTTGTGGTGATTTGAATATGGTGGTTGTGAGAGTAAGGAAGGATTTGAAGTGGGTGGACGTGTGATTAGACTCCACTCATGTTGCTGTTTATTAATCAGTCACTGAAAAAAAATCTGTTCTTTTTCTTAATGGAATCAATCAATGGGTGGCTAATATTAATATACAGACTAAACTATGATTTTTCATTCTTATCCTTGTGGTTTATAGTTTATAACGATTTTCGTCCCTGATTTTTAATTTTTTTTTATCACAGTGGTTTTACTTTTTGTTTTGTTGTTCGTCCCTGAAACAAACGACGTTAGAAAAGTGTCGTTAAATTAGGATAATTTTGGTTATTTTAAAAGAATAATATATAATATTATATATAGATTTGTATCTAAGAAATTTGTAAACTAAAAAGGTAAAAAGACAAAATTACCCTTAGCTTCAATGACCTTTTTTATTAGAGTTCGTTTTAGGGACAAAAAGCGAAAGGAATTGCAAACCATAATGACCAAAAAAGCAATTTTTAAAGAGTAGGGATGAAATTAGTTATAAACAACAAACCGACAAAAATCATAATTTCTCTCTAATATATATATGTGTGTGTGTGTGAGAGGTCAGGTTCCAATGGGAAGAGAAGTTATGATGAAAAATGTAAGAAGAAATCTCCATCTTTATATTAATCCTAATTGAATGTCAACATTAATAAGGTATATCAGATCAATTATAGATGGATGTAAGATTAAAAGTGGTCAATGATTACCATAACTTGACTATTTCGTCTACTTACATATATCTATATATACATCCTTTTAAAAGGGATGCGGACCCACCCCTCCAACGTAATATAAATTAATAATTAAATTTGTTGAAAATATGGTGTGTGTTGTCACTAATAGATTGGTTCACATCATTCTAGTTTGCTTTTATTAGTTGTCGTTCAGTGTGGACCTATTAAAAGTTGAGCGAGGTTCCATACAACCATTCACTCAATTATCACAAACCGGAAAAAAAAACGACCCATTTAACGGGGTTAACACGCTTCTATTCCAAGAAACATCGGGTTCGACACGTACCTGCTGCATTTTATTTGCTTATTATTATCTTTTAAATGGTTTTGTTATAAAATTTTTAAAAATAGAAGGATGTTCTAAAATATTTCGAAACTGAAGAGAGTCGAACCAGAAATTTTTAATGAAACTTATCTAAACAATGGATTTAGATAAATATGCACCCGTTCAAAATAATCGCTAGATCCGCCATTGTTGTCTGCGTTAATAGTTTTTTTATTAACCTGGATATCCAATCCGCTATGCCAGCCAATTAAGCGCAGGACAACCACCCGCGAACAGGAGTCATCACATTTGAACCTCCGTGGCCATAAAGGGATTTTTATTCCTCCTTGAATTTGAACCTAGGATCTCCACACTTTTAACATTTGGAGTCCAAGTTCAAACCAATCGGACACCATCCTTGTGGTTCGCGTAGTTTTTGGATCATAATATTAAAAAAATATATATGAAAAAAGACATGTTGATATATATGAATATGGAGTCATTAGGCAGGAGTTCAATTAGTCTGACCCATGTTTTCTCCAATATCGTTTCTTTTTTAAGTATTTACAAAAATGACGAATATTGTATGTTTTTAGTTTCGTTTGGTTAAAATCAAATAATGAAAATAAGACGAGGATATTGAGTTTCGTTCCTAACATACCGAAGAATGAACCAATCGGAACATGTTATTTGGATCCGGGAGTATTTGTATATCTCGTTGGATGTATCATGCATATGATATATACAGGTATTATGTAATAGGGTTGAGTTTCAGTGAGAAGAAGAGTTAAGTAAGAAGCGTAAGAAGAGATATTTACCCTTTGATACACATTAGGAGGAGGTGCACCGAGATGACATGCATGAAGATGCATTGGATCAATCCTGTATCAAGCACGATTCATAGGTGAGTTTGAAATTAAAAATGATTAAGGGTCTAGATTCTTTCTTACACTTTGCCATTTTTACTCATCTTTTTGTCGTGATAAAGAATTGAGAGAAAAAGTAAGGGTTGATGATTAGTTTTAGTTGGGATAAGCTAAGCACTTGTCTTTATGACCAACTCCATGAATCACTTTCTTTACAAGCCGTATGAATTATATTCTAAATCCATCTTTTAATACAATTCAATTATTGCAATAACTGAATTATATACATATATATATATATATACATATATATATATACACATATATATATATACATATATATATACATATATATATGTATATATATATATGTATATATATATATGTGTATATATATATATATATATATATATATATATATATATTAGAAGGGTCCTTGTACAATGCAGCGAGATACATCTCGATTTTAATGTTCTATTTTATTCTTTGTCTCTATCGATGTTATAATACGATTTTATATGTTTTTAAGAAAGCAATAATGATCTTATTTTTGAATAAAGTATAAATTTGAAGATATAATAAAAATTTGAAAAAAAATATATCAATNGGATATAAACGAGAAGTTTGCACCCGAGTCAAATAACACTATATCATGTAAGGAGTTCACGAAGAATGTACCTGTTACTACATCAGGTGTAGTTTCTGCTTCCTGTTTGGTCATTTGAAAAGATCGACCCCGCGCCCCACCCGTTGCTCCTCTGCCCAGACTTGGTCTTCCTCGGCCCGTTGATGTATTGCTCCCCATGGTTAACTGTGGAGCTTTCATTTGTGGACAATTTGGTCTGAGATGATCTGGAGAATTACAATTAAAACACCTTTTAATTGTTGGGCAACCATTCGATAAATGACCTGTTTCACCACATTTGTAAGGGCCTGTTTACTTGTGGCTTAATGAGCTTAGTGGATAAATGGGCTTATTCGCATAGACTTTCTAGGCTGTTTACTTCGGGCTTAATCACTCAGAAATGGGCTTATTCGCCCAGATGAAAGGAGGATGTTGTCCAGATTAAGCCGGCCAAAAGACTGGGCTACCCTTCCTTATCTCATCTGCGTCTCCAAGAACCCTCCATCGATCGCACATCTCCAAGAACCCTCCATCGATCGCACATCTCCATCGAGGCGCCCAAAAGACTACCCAGATGAAGGCCTCGATCGCACATCTCTTCTCCATCGATCCAAAATTTACAGAACCCTAATCGAAGGCCTCTTCTCCTCCATTGACATCCCTCTTTTCCATCGCTCACGGCCCTCTTCTCCTCCATCGATCGACAGGTTCTTCTCCATTGCTCACGACCCTCTTCTCCTCCATCGATCGACAGGTTCTTCTCCATTGCTCACGACCCTCTTCTCCTCCATCGATCGATAGGTTCTTCTCCATTGCTCACGACCCTCTTCTCCTCCATCGATCGACAGGTTCTTCTCCATTGCTCACGACCCTCTTTGCTGTTCTTCATACGATTTTTGATGCTGTTGATGTTGTTTGATGCACTTTGATGCACTTTGATGTTTGCTATTTATCTATTTTAGGTTTGCTTTTTGGGTTTGCTGTTTGTTGTTTACATTTAGGTTTACATTTTGCTATTTAGGTTTACATTTTGCTGTTTGATGCTGTTTTTTGATGYTGTTGATACTGTTTTGTGTTTAAAACACTTGATTAAATAGTTCATCCTCAAGGGGTAAATTGGTCATTTCTATTATTCAGACGGTTGATTCAAATAGAAAAGTAAACAACAACATAAATTTATCCAGACAGATAAATTTATCCAGACAGAAAAATTTATCCATACAGGACTTAATAGAAAATTTGGTAAACAGCCCCTAACATTTCCTTAGCTCAACCCTGCATTCTCCCTGATGAATTTGTTGACATCGGGGACAAGTCCTTTCATTGAATCTTCGTATGGACTTATTCCCAAACTTTAAAGCTTTTGGTCCTTTGTATCCAGTTGATGGACCTTCCCATTTCCTCTTTTCTATCACTCTCCCTTCCTCCTGTCTATTCTTGTTTCTCTCTGTTACTTCTGCTGCGTCAACAGTCGATGAAAATGTAGCCGGATTCATGGCTATAACAAATTCTCGGATTGATGGTTTCAATCCCCAAATAT